CCCCAGAAATCTCAACTGTCTCTGTTAAGCATTAGTTTCCTTTTTGTTTCCATTTTCTCAAAAACTTCGTCGTTGATCTCATTTTTGGTCCATAAACAGAAATAAAAATTATTCTTAGATAACAGTTTTCTTTTCCTGCAACAGTTCTTTTCCCCTTACACTCATTACAACAGCAAACTATAATAAAAAAATATAATTACACACCTAATAGCACTATTCTGTTAGTGAGACTTGTAATCTGAGAACTGCTAACTCCCAACAGTCATTATAAAATCTGGAAAAGTCTCCAAAAAATCAAGATGATTATAAACAGAATTACAAAAACAGAAGTGAGACCATCTTCTGAAAAACTTAAATATTTTACCTATAGGTAGATTTTACAAGCACAAACTTCCAAATGAATTGTGGAGGGATCAGATGCATAACAGAAATAAAAATTATTTTTAGCTAACAATTTTCTTTCCCTGCATCAGTATTTCCCTTACACTTGTGTTCTGAGAACTGCCAATCTGTGATGAGGGGAAACATTGCTTCTAGCCCTACCATCAGAAATATTAATTTGCTAATGTACAAAAGGATTAAAACTAAGCTTGTAGTGGTTGAGTAAAGTCAGTGATCTTTTTTTCTTTATGTGCCATATCTGTTCAGGACATAAGTGATCATGACTCTCCACAACTTCTTGTCCCTTGTAACTCTTAATAAATTTTATCTTCCTGTTATTTCTCCTAAACCCTGTTCTGTCATCCATTTACTCAAACTCACTAAGTATGTTATGCATTGTTTTCTCTCCCTCCCCTCACTCTGTCCCATGATTTTCCAAGCCCTCCTTCCTCGTTATGTGTCCCAGAAACCTCAACTGTCTCGTCCTGATGTTAAGTATTAATTTTCTTTTTGTTTCCATTTTCTCCAAAACTTTGTTGTTGCTCACACGTTCGGTCCACTTTATCCTCAGCATCCTTCTGTAGAACCACAACATTTCTGTTGCTTCAAGTCTCCTCTTCATCTTTGGGGAGATCGTTCAACACTCACTGCCATACAAAGTGGAAAGATAGTGATAAGAAAAGCTGAAACTTTGTCTTGGTTTGTTTTTTATGGTATATCAACCCTTTGCAGGTTATTTATTTACACTTATTACAGCAGCATACTATAATAAAAAAATATAATTACACACCTAATAGCACTATTCTCTTAGTGACACTTATATTCTGAGAACTGACAATCTATGTGCTTAGAGGAAACATTGCTTCTAACCCTACCATCAGAAATATTAATTTGTTAATGTACAAGACGATTAAATCTAAGCAGCTAGTAGTGGAGTAAAGTCAATAATCTTTCTTCTTTATGTGCCATGTTTGCTCAGGACGTAGGCGATCATGGCTCTCCACAATTTCTTGTCTCTTGCAGCTCTTAATAAACTTCGTCTTTCTGGGTTTATTTTCTCCTAAAACCTGTTCCGTCATTTATTTACTCAAGCTCACTAAGTATTTTATGCGTTGTTCGCCTCTGCCCCTCTTTCCTTCTATCTGTCCAGTGAGTGTCAGATTTTCCAATCCCGCCTTCCTCATTATATCCTAGAAAACTGAACTGTCCCTTCCTGATGTCAAATACAAGTTTCTTTTTTGTTTCCATTTTTTCTAAAACTTCGTCTTTGCTCGCATGTGTCGTTCATGGTATCCTCAGCATCCTTCTGTAGCCCCACATTTCTGTTGCTTCAAGTCTCTTCTTCATCTTTGAGGAGATTTTCCAAAAATCACTACCATACAAGATGACAGACGTCACGTAGAAAACCATTTTTAGCCACAGCTTGCCGCTACATAGCAACGGAAAGATGTGTATCCACTAAAAAATAACGTTTATTTTAATTAATGTACTTTTTATTAATCGTCTCATCCAAAGAAAGGTGAAAATGACACTAAGACGCAAAGGGTTACAGTGAATGAAAGAGAACGAGCAAACTTTAAAAGAGATGACTGAGGAAAAGACAAAAAAGGAACAGGGTTCATGGAGTCAGAAGATGGCGATTGACATTGCATTTAAATTTTTGAACATTGCAGTAATCAGAGAAGCAAGAAATCAGAAGGGAATTCCACACGTGAGAAGTGTAAGAAAAGAAACCGTTAGAGTAGAACTGGCACTTGCATCTAACTAGTTCAACAGTAAAACTGTGAGACCAAGCTATCAATCGAGTAGTACGCTTAAATTCATGAAGTCGGGGCACCAGTGGGGGAGGTCGGGGCACCAGGGGGGAAAAACGTCAGGGCACCAGGAGGAAAAAGGTCAGGGCACCAAGGGGGAAAAGGTCAGGGCACCAGGGGGGAGGTCAGGGCACCAGGGGAAAGATCAGGGCACCAAGTGGGGGAAAGGTTGGGGCACCAGGGGAAAGGTCAGGGGGCACTAGGGGGAAAAAGGTCAGGGCACCAGGGGAAAAGGTCAGGGAACCAGGGGAGAGGTCAGGGCACCAGGGGGGGAAAAGGGGGGAACCAGGGGGAAAAAAGGTCGG